TTAAGGTAGAGATTTAGTTTACTTGACAGGTATTTTAATTAGTTAATTTGAAAACCCAAGATGTCTCCCTTGTCCACAAAACTATATATTTTTGGACAGCTTATTGTATGAATTTTATCAATTTTGTTAGTATTTTTTTTGTGTGGACACTGTAGTTTGAAATATGCACAAAATTGTGCTTTTTTGGTCAAAAGTGATTTAAAAAAAATAGCTTCTAAACCGTGCTTCTGTTTCCTGTCAAAATTGGTTTATGGGTACATTTGTCAATTTTGCAGGGCGGCAGCTCAAATTTCACTACTTCAAGTTTATGCATAAATTAAGACCCAGGCTAGTTGTCTGTAAGATTGTTGTAACACTGTTCAACCAAAAACAATGCCCCGACGGCGTGTTGAAGATAAACACATTGTCAATCATTTGTGAAAAATTGAAAACAAAAGGTCAAAGCGTCTAGGAGCTAGTTCTGGGATGTGCACTAAAAGAAGCTGAGATAATTGTTAATTTGCATAACAAATCACTCAGTAAGAAGTTTGCTAATGCTCATAATTAAAATGGCTGTAACAGTTCCAAATTTAAATGTATTATCGTTTTTTTCAAAGTTAAATATAGTGCATAATATGGAGATCCCGTCATTATTTTTTCACCATGTTTATTTTTTATTATTTATGTACAGCCTTGCTAAATCTTGCTAAGCATTCAAAAGAAAGAATATTTGCATCTGTTATCTATATTTTAAAATCGTTTTTTGAGAATGTTCCACTATTCACAATTCTAAAAATTTTAACAGTCTATAGCCAAGACTGTTTGGATAATAAAAAAAGCAAAAAAAAAAAAACTTTTCACTCCCAAGTGTCAACGAACCTGCATCTTTACCTTAATGTATTCCGCAAGCAAACAAACGCAGGCACGTGTGTCATAAAATCTCATCAAAGTTTGACTACATGTAGTGGAAAATGTTTAAATAGTGAGGGTCGTCACCTGCGCACGCGCGGGAATTGCGTCCCAAACGAAGATAACAACACATGCTAAAGACACTTGTTTGTAAACAATGACTCGCTATGTCCATCTGTCGCATGGGCAGGTGACGACTTCCCCGCTTTAATAAAGGAATTATTACGAAAGCTTTAAAGACAGCACAAAGACAGTGTCCGAGCACCGTACCGTTGTCATTTATACTTCGAGCTATTACGTTACATTAACATTATTGTGAAACCCAAGCAGAGTACAATATTTGGCAAGGAACATAAATCTATATGACGGGATGTCGAGTTTTCATAGAGAACCACTTTAATACACTTGTACATGTTCCGCAAGGCATAGTGGGGAGGCAATAACCGAATATGCGAGCCTTGGTTAACAAATAAAGATATCCCTCTTGCATTATTTGTGTTTGAATAGTTCACAGCTTATGTATCTTTGCCATATTACAAATTAATACGGCTTAGTCGTGCGAAATGTCACTCATATATATAACTCACTCTATATATATATATATATATATATATATATATATATATATATATATATATATATATATATATATATATATATATATATATATATATATTAGGAGTACACGTGATTCTATATTCAAGCCATACATTTTAAATGTTTTTGTCCTTCACAGTTTCTTACACAACTGGTGACTTGATTCTGCAATGGGCACCAGATGGCGATAATCTTGAAGCATTTGGTGTTCGGGAAGGAATATCATTACCGCAATTTAGGTTTAATGAAGCAACGCCAGACAGATCACGAACAACACGAAACTTTACGACAGGTAACAGTTATTACTGTCTTGTAACACGTCGCTGTTTTATAGTGAGTAATTGCTGTGACGTAAGAGCATATTTAAATTTGATAAACAAGAAATGCTACCGTAAAGTTACGAATATACATCAACGCCATCACCGACATCGTATCAATTCACAAATACGACGAGCATCGTGATCATTGTGATATTCTGTAACTATCTCACTGATTAATTTAATCAGCAATGTGAGTAATTTCAATCAGCACTAAACGACGATACTAGACATGCATAGCGCCTGTGTATGAGGAATTGATTTGTATTAATTGTTAGGTTATATTATATAAATTGCACGTTAATATGAAATAATTAATTACTAATTAAAGTTATTAATTTAAATTGTAGGAAACTTCTCATACCTCACTGCCACAATCAGTTTACAACGTCAAAAAGAGTTGTTCATTATGTCCAATTACCTTCCGAGCTTATTGATCGTCGTGTTATCATGGTTTTCATTCTGGATCAACCCGAATTCCGAGCCAGCCCGTGTATCACTCGTAATGACTGCATTATTAACGCTGTGTACACAGATGAATGGTATCCAGGCAACAATGCCTAGGGTGGCGCATCTGAAGGTAATGTTCCACAAGGTGATATACCGTATGGAGGTTGATATGATCACGTACTCTATGATTACGTATTTTGCTGTATATTTCATGTCCAATTGTTTGGTATTGCAATAGGGACAGATAATATACACTATAATCGCATGACCATGGTACATATCACTAGTGCATTACTGACGTTCACTAGATGATATTGTACGGTAAATTCACAAATATTCGAGTTAAACTGTACTATTTTATTTGGGTTTGAACTGCACATGGCGATAAACATGACGAGAACGTCAAATAGAATCCATGTGAATTAGCATATGAATGCTGAGTGAAGTAAATTTGCGTTTTCCTTTTTTTTGCCATTCTCGATTGTTTATGTGATACAAGAAGTATTACCTGATATTACTCGTGACTTCTGTATCACTTTTGGTTCGTGTACATACGTACTACATACAAAGTATTATTCATTAACGATTTATTGCGTCATAAATTCTATTGCAGGCCATTGATGTGTGGATGTCAGTCTGTCTCGTCTTTGTGTTCGCAGCACTAGTGGAATACGCCGCTGTTAACTATATTAGTTTACAGATACGAAAACAAAGTCGAAGAAAGCAACAATCGTTTGAGATGTTGAATATAATTGAAAACACGGAAAACAACAAAGTGAGTTGCTGTGACGTCATTGTATATCACATATCGAGAATTATAAGAGAGGTATCTGTGAATAGATTCAGGCAGTCTACTAGACCCCTATAATAATTCCTTATAGATTATTTGGGTTTTTATTTCTAGAAACAAGTTCATGGCCCACAGCATTATCGTCACGCTGTAAAAAATATAATTGAATATTAATGTAGGTTCAAGTTTAATTCAAGGCTGGTTAATACCTTAGATTGTTTTTAGTTATTGAAAGTTAGTAGTTTCCAAAAGTTTTGTAACAGTCAGTCAGTCATACAAATGTACTACTAGTGTTAAACGTTGATAGATCGTTTTGGACTCCTTATATCTGAATTGCTCAACAGCCATACAGATTTAATAAGGTATTAATAGTTGTATGTGTGTTATTTTTCGTAGGTGAAGCATACATCAGAGGACGGAAGAACAAGCAGTGCGTCAAAAGGTCCGGATAGTGCAGTGATTGGCTTTCAGTTCCGTGATGTCATAGGTCACGTGAGACCCGGACAAATTGATTATTACAGTCGAATTGCATTTCCTATCGCATTCATGGTGTTTAACATAATTTATTGGCCAACGTACTTGTGTTGGATTGATTGAGAACAACTAAATGTTTCTATAAACCGGTATGTTCTAGATTTAACCAACTAATTCTGCTCAGTTTACTGGGCATCTACAAAAGTGATGTAGTTGAACCAATGATCGTTCACATGAACGTTCGTCGATTTTGCCTGCATTGAATTAAATATTCTTCAGTCCCAGGTTATATTCAATATTTGAGTTATCGCTAAAGAGGTGTGTACATAATGCATACCACCAGACTAGCATCGTTAAATAATAGACAGCGTAATCTTCATGAGGGTCGATTGTGATTGTGTAATTACATATATTGCTTATGATAACACAGCTACAACTCTGAGTGCCTTATTTTAACAATTCATGTATGCATATCTCGTACTATAACAGAAGGTTACTGAACATGTAATATATATATATATATTAGGGTTATTCAACCAGAAGAAGTAGTACATGAGATGGATTTAGAAAACGACCCACTTTCCAGAACGGGAAGTTTTGATAATTTCATGTTATACAGAAACGGCTGGTAGTATTTTTACATGTTGGCCATCGCTTTGTGTCCACGTCATGGTTTTCAATACAACCACACTCTATATTTTTATTATGACGTCGAGCCATGTATACGGAGTATTCAATAACAAATTATACTGATAAGGGCAACGAATATAACTTTAGAACCAATTGACGCTGCAAACAGCCCTACATGCGTTTATGTGCGTGCCATAATTTCACTGCAGTTCAATATGCTCAGTTAGGCATGTTAATCATGAATAATACATTACGTGTTTTCTATGTGTGTTTCTTAACACACTTTACAGACGTATAAAAGAGAATAGAACATGTGAGTACTTCTGTTTCCTGTCATTCAGGAAAGATATCACAGCACATGATCAAACTAATGTCATTTGCTGTTATGAACAATTCGCCAGTTTTT